ATAGCATATCGTAGGAAGTTGTGGCTAGAGAAAAATTTTTATGGCAAGCTGGGTGTGGTGCTGCACACTTGTAATCTCAGCACATGCAGGAGGGTCACTGAGTTCAAGGCCAGTGTGGGCTACATAAACCCTGTCTCAAAGTCTGTGGCAGTGGTCATTCTTGACATAGGTCTGAGAAAAATTTTAAGATTTGGATACTTGATATATACTAAATATTGAGTGTAGAGAAGTTTTTCTAATGGTTCAGATTTCAGACTAACACATATAGTGCATGGGGGTGTGCCATACCTCCTCATTGATCAATGTGGAAGTGTCATGGCAGTATAAAGAATCCTTCTGCCTTTGGGAAGATACCACAGACAGAATGTCCAACATACATACATGTACACTGGAAAGAGGTCAGAGAGCTTCAGCTGGGAGCCTGAAGTAAGGATGCAGGGAAAAAAGAAGAAAGGGCTTCAGTCAGAGTGAAAATTTATCTTCACTATAATGTGGGTAAAATTTTGAAGAATGGAAGTGCTTGGATTTGTGGGAGTGCATCTTGGTGGGAAGCTGAAACTGAATAAATTGATTTGAGAATTGTAAGAGACAAAAAAAATAACAGACTGCTTGCCTTAGGATAGTAGTGATGACACTGGCAAGTAAAGGGGAAATCAGTAAATTAAAGACAAATGTGTTCTATAAAACAATGACACTTAGGATTTTTGTGAAAATTAAGATGTGCGAAGCAGTTTGGATCTGGGGAAAATAATTTGCCGTTAGATTTTTTAAAATACATATTATAGGGCAACTTTAGGTTTGTAGGAAAGCTATGGAAATACCAACTTTACTTTAAGGCCTCATCCCCAAATACGGTCACTTTGGGGGTTAGGACTTCAGCATAGATTTAGGGAGAAAAGGACACACGTTTAGTCCACAACAATAATATTTACTGGGATTCCTTGGTGTGTGTTTGTTTTGAGACAGTGTCTCAGGTAGTTCAGGCTGGCTTTGAACTTACTATGTAGCCCAAGCTGGCCTCAAATTCACAGTGATTCTCCTGCCTCAGCCTCCCAGCTTCTGGGATTGCAGGTATGCCTCACCATGTCTCACAGCTCCTTGTGTGCTGTGGTTTTTGTTTTTTGGGAGAAAGGGAGTGGATTCCAGTAACTTTTTTCTTTTTTGAGACAGGGTCTTAGTATGTAGTTCAGGCTGGCCTCAAACTCGAAGTGATCCTCCTGCCTCAGCCTCTTGAGTGCTGGGATTACAGGTGTGAGCCACAATACCCAGCAGATTGCAATAATTTTAAGGTCACTTGCTTATCCTAAAGAAATTACTTTAATATTTCTGTAAGGTGGGTCTGCTAGCAAGAGGTTCCATTTCTGTTTGGAGAAAATCATAATTTTTGAGATAGCTTTGCCAGATTTAAGATTTTTGGTTGGAAGTGTTTTTCTTTGAGCACTTCAAATGTATTTTCCTGCTGCCTTCTGCCTTCTGGTCCTATTGAGAAGCAGAATATTAATCTTTCTCCTTTCAAGATTTTTTGTTTTGACCTTCTGCATTTTTGCTTTGATAGGTCTATAGATTGTTTCATATTTACCTGATTTGGAGATTAGGAACTATTTTCCTGCCTGCTTCTTCCCATAGATATAACTCTTGAGTCAGGGCTCTGGACCTGGGCATGGGTACAGCGGAAAGCTTTTCTCTGAATGATACCCCGACTCTTGGTGAAGAGGAGGGGAAAGCAATCTGAGGTTGTCTCAGCTTGTTGCTTCTGCTATGGAACCACTACTTCCTGAATTGATGACAAGCCTTCTCAGGGACCCAGTTTTCTCAGTGCTTCACATCGAAGGTAGAGTGGATACTGGGCAAAAAAGGATTTCCCCCAGGCTCTTGACTCCCTAGCTCAGGACTTGAATGCTAGGCAGCTGGTGGCAGGGTGAGAAATGCTGCTGACCTGTGCTGGGAATAAAGCCCTTCATCTGGGAGCACTAGCAGCTCTGAGCAGAGTAATCCATGTATTGTGGGTGGCAGCAGTTGAGAAAGTGGAGTCCAGGCCTTGCTGAGGTGGGAGAAGAAAGGAGGGAGCACTGTGGGTTCAGATACCACACACTTGCTATTCTTACTGAGTTTGTGTAAATTTTCCTTGAACAGATGTTTCATTTGCTCTTTGCTCTTAGGACCACTTTCTGAGGCTTTAAATAATGGTTGTGGTTTTTTAAATAGTACTCTCATTTACGGAGAAGCAGGTCAGTAGGGCTCCTCTCAAGCTGTCATGGTAGAGGTCAGTCTCCTATAGATCAGGAGTGGTGAAACAACATTTTTGGGCCTTTGGTTCCTTCTTTTTTTGACTATGTGTAAAGTAGTGTTGGCCTCTTCCTCACCTTGCTCCATTTTATTCTATTACTCAGTGTTATTTTCCTTATTGTATTCATATCTGCAATAGTATTTGTATGTTTTTATGCTTCCCTTCCCTTGAAATGTGCAAAGATAGGAGACTTCTATTTTCTTGAACGTTATATCCCCCAGTGCTTCAAAAACATGCACCCATGTGTCAGACTGTCATTACAGCACTTAACAGACCTGTGGGGCAGAAGGGACAGTAGACAAAGTAGTCATAACATTTTTCTAAAAGTGCTTTGAAAGAGAAGTACATTGGGTGGTGCTTTTATGGTTCTGATCTGAGAAAAGTCTTACTATTAGTGTACATGAGAGCGAAAGTAACATACATGTATTATTGTAAGCATTGTTACCATAATAAACCAGGCTGTGGAACCTCAGTGCCTCTTTCTAGACCACTGGTGAGTCAATATAAAATTTCTAGGGGCCTAGATACACAGTCCAATAATTTACTAGGTTTCATCCAGTTTCTTTAGGCTGCTACCAGGCAGTTCGCCCTTGCTGGCCTCTAACCCCTGACCTGTTCCAGCCTCCCAAGGAGCTGGAACTACAAGTGCATGGTACAGTGTGCCTGGCTTTTAAAGATAACTCTTTATAAGATAGCCTATCTGGATGTTGGAAATTAGAAACTAGGGTTGGCAGAAATGACTGCCAAGGACACAGTACACCTCTCAAAACATCCAGCCCCAAGCAAGCAAGAATAAATTCACTTTGGATGTGTTTAAACAGACAGAATCTGAGTACCTTGAGCTGACCCCAGAGTGTCTTGGGTATTCAAGAGTAATGTGGCTAAGAAATATGAAGGTTACTGATGTGATACAGATGAAGGTATGGGTTCGCTACCACACTAGTATGTTGTGAGGAAGATACATGTGGAGGTGGAGATGTGTAACAGGAGATTGTGTTGAGAAGTATGTGTCCAGAATGAAATACCACTGTGCTTCTGTATGTCACTCTGAGTTAACATGCTGGAACCTACACCACATTCCAATTTGTATCACTGGTAAAGGGAGAAAGCAAGAGGAAACAGACCATACCTTGAGATTATAGAACTGTGTTGAAGTATCTTACAGCACCTTGACCTTCAGGATAGATGAGAAATGCAGGGACATGCGGACATGGTAAAAGTGGACACCTCTAAAGAAAAGTCTCAATAATAGCAAAGAAGCCTCACTAGTGTAGAGAAGTGGTTCACAATTCTAGCTCTGTGTTAACATCATTTTCAGAACTTTTACAAAATTCATATATTCTGGACCCCTTTCCGGATGTTTAATTGATGTGCAGTGTGGTCTGGAATTCTCTTAAAAAATCAGGAGTTCTCAGAAATCCCCTAAATTATTCTGGTGTGCAGCCAGAGTTGAGATACACTCATAAAGAAGTTACATCTGTGTGGAAGTAACAGAATGTTCACTTAACCTTTACAAAATGTAAAGCTGATGGTCATTTAACCCAATCTGTGTTGTTTATGAGATCAGCCTTGGTCAGAGAGAAGGAAAAGACTCCAGTCTTTCTAGAAGGAAGAATACCCATTTTCTAGACCCTTCCAGCCTCATCTCTACTAGGTGATAGAGTATAGAAGGTATCCTCTGCCACCCCACATAGAGGACTTAGTTGAGGATCAGTGACTGTCAGGAGACAGTCTCACTGCGAAGGAGGGGCTGTTCCCACAAAGTCAAAGATGATCTTGACCAGCATTCAGTTAGCTTTCTTCCCTGTTTACAGGCTCTCTGAAGCTATTTTTGAGCCATTGATGTCCTGTCTGCTGCAGTCATGGACCCCTTCTCAAGTTAAAATGTTTTAAAATGCATAAAAATAAAATATGTAACATTACAAAGGAAACATTATATTGGAGTACAGCTATCCAAATTACAAAATTTTTACAATGATACATGCCTCCTTTTTAACAAATAACAGTCTAATTATCCATTCAGTGGATTAGACCTAATTATCCATTCATTGGATCTAATAATCACCATAACTTTTACACCTAGTGATAAATGTAAACTTCAATGTGCAGTGGTTGTAAAAAGCAATTAATATGAAACAACTCCTTTCTGTTGGAGATAGTTATGGATACTGATAATGCTATGATGGTTTATTTCCACATTCACAATTGAAAACAGTGCTAAGTTTCAGTTTAATTTGTAAAGATAAATATATAATTTTAATTATGCAAACTCAATACCTGGAAATTTTATATGCTGGTTAGGCATATTAATATATTAGTCTACAGTTAAAATATTTTTAATGGTTACTACCTTTATTTTTTTTTTAAAGCAAAACATTTATTGGTACATTTTAGGGATACATAATGATAACACTCATCTTGGGGAATTTGCGCCTGTACATGGTACATCTTGCTGCTTTTTTCTTATTCCCTCCCTTTCCTCAAGCCCCCTCCCGTCTCGACATAAAAAGTTTTGTTTCCGTAAAAGATTTTTTTTTTCAAAGAATAGAGTTTACCTATATATTTTCATAGTCTGTGTTGTGATACTAAAACTCAATACTGGAATAACTTTTTAAATTTGGCATTAACAGTATAATACCAGATTTTATGCACAGCATTAACTAGGTAGCTCTTTGAATCTCCAGATGCTAACAAAAATGATTTGATATTGCAGGAATACAAGCGCAAGTTAGCCAGAGTTTCCCTGGTGCGCAAAGAACTCAGGTCCCGGATCCAGAGCCTGCCAGATTTATCTCGATTGCCCAATGTCACTGGCAGCCACATGCATCTGCCTTTTGCTGGGGACATCTACAGTGAAGATTGATGACCATTCTCTTCCTAGGGCCCAGGACTTTGCAAGAGATGGAAACAGGTTAGGTGGATAGTCCTGTAGTGTTATTTTTGTATACTGTTGGGAGAGTGATACTAACAAAAGAAACAAGTAATTTATGAAATTGTTTAAAATGTTGGTTTGTTTACTATTTTATTAGTAAATTAACATGACTTAGTTTAAACAAAGTGAGGATGTGTGTGTATTAATAAGCTCACAAATAGTGATTACTTTCAAGAGATTTTTGTAATTTTTTTTGATCCAAGGCCTTGTGAAAAATTCCATGTTTCTATTTCTTCATGTATTTTCAATTGTTTTTCTTTATTGTTTTCAGTATCTAATCACTGTATACTATCCAGTTACTGAAGAGGAAGAACTAATCAGGAGTTGGTTGAGACTTTATTATGGTATAGGTAGGACTTGATTATAGGAGAAACTAAATGTTCCAACTTAATCTTCACCTTTCTCCCCAACCCAAGTACTGGTTCTGTGCCTCTCCATGCCTTCGATTCCTAGTGGTCAGCAGTATAACACTAAACATGGGCATCAACTGAAGGGTCGGATCAGAGCCTAGAGAACTTTCCCCTGGTAGCAGTCCTTTCCAGCTGCCCAGTGTAGAGTAAACAAATGTTAAATAAGGACTCCTTTGATTACACTGTTTAAAATTATTTGAGTCAATTAATATGAAAAAGCTTTGGAAATACTATAAATTTTGACACTCTACCAAGAGGATAACTTTGGTTCTGGAACTGATTTCTATTTAACAAATCAGTTTTTTAACATAATTGATCCCTTTAATTAAAAAACATACATATATGGAATTAAAAGAAACATACAAGAATGACAGTTTTATTCCCTAAACTATATAACTTTTAAAAAATTGTATTTTTAGCTCTAATAGCTCTAGAACACAGTAATCATTACTGTTTAGTAAAGTAGACTGGAACATTTTTGATGTTTCTGTAGGAATTTTGAGTGACTGTATATTTGGAAATTAAGCAGTACTACACTACAGGGTAGATCTGGTAAATTTTATATTTGTACATTTACAGATGTAAATACAAAGCAAATGTACTTTTACCTTTTATTTCTAACCTTGTGTGTTAGTGCAGTTGCATGCTCTGCAGCTTTCTTTTTAAGTCACATTGTTAAGCTGTGGATTTGTCTTTAATAATGACTTAGAATAAACATTTTTCTTCATTCATTGCTTTACATATTAGACATTTCTCATTGTAAGCAGATTCAAATTAGATAATAAAACATTTTTTAAATCACAGAAGCCAATTACATTTCATTACTCTGAATGGCTTCACTCTGGGTTTTTTTTTTCAGTATTAGAGATTATAGTTAAAATAAATTTACATTGTTAAGGAAAAGGCATACATTTATTAATAGCTAGTAGTTATAGAAACAGTGCTTTTACCAATGTGACCTCTCCCCAAAACAGAAACATATAGTAGTCCCAGACCACATATGTCTTATGTTCCAAAGTGTTTTAGACAACTTTTGGGAGTTAGGATACATTTTCTCACAGAAACAGCAGTAATTGGGTTCCCTATGCACACTACCACTAAAAGCTCACATTGGAACCTAATCCACTTAACTATGGATGTACTTAACTTACAATATGGTTGATAATTTTTCATCATAGACCCTGACGAATATTTAATAACATCACTCTAAGGAGATTGTGTGCAGCAGCGAAACTGACACATGGGGGTGCCTGCCTGCGCTGTATACCTCTGTCCCTAGGTGTAGGAAATAGAAGAAGAGATTCAGCAGAGGGAAAGAGGACGTAACAAATATACAATTAGAAAACCTGCTTATATCTATTATGAAAGTATACTTAGGTTTTGTTGTTGCAAATGTGAAAGCAAAAACTTCTATGTTAATTTATTTTCCATATCTTGACCTTATTTATAATCTGCTAAAGTGGTGATTTACCCATTCAATATATA